CTTCCATTGCCCCCATCATGTTATGTTATGTCACATTACATCACAGTCTGCCCCTTCCATGTCTGTCTTGACCATGTCAACTTCATGCTGTAACCAGCTCATTGTTTTTAATAGCCTCCTTGCTCCACAAGCACCAGCCCTACAACACCCCTATAACATAAGGCACCATGGATTTAGCCTTTTAAAATTAAAGTTTCCAGAATGAGATGGTAGGATTAAACCTAGTTCCCGGGAAGAGGCCTTTACTCACCTTTGACAACCCTGTGGGGAAAGGGTGTATTATGGGTTTCAATGATGAAGAGATGGATTTGACTTTGAGGCTGAGGAACCTAGGCAGAGTAGGTGCTAGGACTGGGTGGTATCTGAGTTAGAGGAGAAAGATAAACACAAGCATGCTTAGCCCCTTCTCCCCAACTCCTTCCCTCCTTCCCTAGTAATTTGCATCTTCATTCAGAGTCAAATAGTGACCTAAGTCTTGGTTTAGTAGCAGAGATTTGGTCCACTCAGTTTCAACAGATTTGAACCTTGAGATATATCTGATACTGATGGAAAGTAACAAGGGGTTTTCTCTAGCCCTTTCCTTTCACAGATGTGACACTGAAGCTTGGAGCAGGAAGGCAGCCTCTCCAAGGTGAGCAGGCAGACAGCCAGCACTCAGTCCAAGCAGCAGGCCACTGTGTCTTCATCATTCCCACAACAGCTGCTCAGAGGTGTGTAGTCACACTGGTGTGAACACAGCAAGCTCTGCTTGAAGGAACGGAAGCCACCTTTATAGAATATTGACATTGTCACTATTCCAGCTGTAAAAATTTCACCCCAAGCCAGGCCCTGACTTCTGCCTTTCTTCTTTCAGGCTCCTTGCCCCAGGCCTGTTTCTTCCTTGACCACCTCCTCCTTCTCCCTGAAGCCTCCCTGACTCCTACATAGAACACAGCTCGCTTGCATGTTGTGGTGGGCAACTGCAGAGGCCAAGGGACCTCATTCGAAAGTCAAGAACACAGCACCACTGAGAGGGCATGAAAAGTTTTGCTATTTATATAAAGGCGGTCTCTGAGGACAGCAGGTCCCAAAGGGCTTGAGAGACTCACTAAGGAGGCTGACCTATGCTTCCACTGAGGTTGGGGTGAGTGTTCACACAGGGAAGGATTCTGTTACTCTCCCTCCCTTGGACACCAAAGAGAAGCCCCAGGCTTTCTTAACTGCTTGTCCAGGTGTTGACCATTAGGAAAAAGGGTGGAACGAAGCTTAAAGGCTGTCCACAAATATCAAAGCTGAGCTGAGCCTTGTCATGTCACATGCACCCTGTGTTTCTAGGTGGGTCCCTTCTCCATGGGGAAGCGTTGACTTTAGAAAGTCAACTAGGAGGATGAGATCAGGCTGTGAAGGCTAATGTCATTGAGAACAAAGCGTTTCAGTCCTGTTGCATGAACCCGGAGTTCTTTCTCTAGCTCTCCATCCCAGACCTGTGCAGTCTACATCTCCTTCCACCCCAGTCCATCTCCCCCAGGTCTGATACTCCCCACATTCCTCAGGGGTCTGCCTTCTAGCAGCCACTCAGCTCCTGCTCCCACGTCCCCTCTGGATTGAAAAACATCATCCCTCATCCCCTTCCTGCTCCCGGTCCCTGAATCGGACATGCTGGTCATTCCTGTTTGGGATGGTCAAAGAGATAAGACTGCTGTGGAGCCCATCTGTCATCAGCACACGACTCAAAGCTATTTTGAGCAGGACTCCGGTCCATACCGAGTGTCCACCCTGGGCTCTCCTGGTCCTGGCTCTCCCCCCACCCCTCCAGGAATAAGGCCAAGAACCAAGGGAATCAGCCAAAACGGCTCAACTTCCATCTAGCTTCCTCTTCCCTGACCCCAGATAGCTATTAAACCTTTGGTGGCTCTGGACCACAAGTCAGACCATGAGAGAGACTAAGTGGCTCTGGGAGTCACAACTCAGAAACTAATACTGTTCTAAGGGCAGTCAGGGACAAGTGTCCTCTCCCCAAATGCCACAGAGAGAACTGTTATTGCAGCTGCTTTTATTTAGGCACGTCTGGCTATCTGAACAACATCTGCCTGAGTTTGTTTCTTAAAGACACAGCTGTAGTCATTGGTTTCTAGTCCTGGCTCTGCCTCCCTCCCCTTCCATAAGCTGCATAACTTTGGATATACAGGTACCCTCCTGGGGTTTCCTTCCCTCTTGAGGCAAATGAGGATGACAAACCTGAATTCACAGGAAGCCTGGGGGGATGAAGTGAGTCTGCACCTGAAACAATTTGTAAGCTGTGTAGTCAGGCTGGGGCCACTGCCCAGGCTTTGATTCTAATCTTGTGCTCCTAATGGTACCTGATTTAAGATGCTTGCTGCTCAAAAGCCAATGTTCAGAGACCAGCCTGCATTATGTAATATAACTCTGTCTCAAAAAAACCCATACCAGGATGGAGAGATGGCTCAATGGGTAAAGTGCTTTGCCGTTCAAGCCTGATAACCCGAGTTTGACCTCCCCTCCCCCAGAGTCCACATAAAAGTGGAAGGAAAGAATTCCACAAAGCTGTCAGCCGACCTCCATGTGCACATTATGGTATGTGCATACCCCCACCAAAAAAACACCACACACACACACACACACACACACTAATAATAATAAATAACGCACCCATACCAATTTGGAACATGGAGGGATCATTGACCTCAATGCTCCATCTTGGGGGTGGAGTGCTCAGGGACACAAGGGGCTGTTACAGGGAGAGAAGGAGCCTCAGAGTAGGAAAGCCACATGCTGAATGGGGCCTTTGCCATCTAGGGCAAGCATCTCTGGTTTGTGCTTTTTTTTTTTTCTTTTTTCTTTTTATTTTTTTTTTTTTCTCCCCTTCTGGCTAGAACATTGCAATCCACTTTATCTCCTGGGACTAGTTCCTGTATTTTTTTAAAACAGACACGTTACTTTTCCACAAATTAAGCTCACAGCAGTTTATGTGCTTTGTGTTAGTTGATGTACACAATTAAAGACAAAGGAAGGATGGTATTTCTGGGCTCCATAAAGCTAAAGGAAGATTATCTAAGCATTTTAACCATTTAGCTGGGGCTTCTCTTTAGAATTTAGTATGCCAGGAAAAAGGCAGGGGAGCCATAAGTAGTCACTGATTTACATCAACTAACTAAATCTGATTTGTCCTAAGTATTATATAAATGTTAATCCTTAGCATAGGTGGTTTAAGAATGGTTCTGGGATTAGATAGTGTACTGTTAGAATCCTAGCTTTGTGACCTTAGTCAAATACCTTAACTTCCCTGAGCCTCAGTTTTCCCATCTTAGAGCAGAGATAACATCTCAATGATTAATGTGAAGATTTAAGTGAATAATATTTGTAAAACATGCCGTCCAGCAGTCCACCTCTATTTTTCACTTCTGTATTTGAATTCCAGACTCACTTGGGTGGGAAATAGACTCAGATTGTTCCTGTGCCAATAGGGACTTCAAATCCATCTTCCATAGGAATAGCTGCTCCCTTTAGTCCCCCCAAGGCTGTGACAAACATGCCAGGGCTGTGTCTGCAAAGGGGCACTGTACAAATGCAGCTGTCACACCTGATGTAGGAACAGCTCTGCTCCCATTTGTAAATAGTCACCTGTACAGACCTGGATACATACAACTCTGATCCATTTCCTACATTCCTTTTTCTTTGAATGATTTCTTTTTGTAAATGGTGATAAAAGTTATTGGCTTGAAAAATACAGTAGTTGTAAAGTAGTTAGCATAGTTCCTGCTTCATGAACGCTTAATACATGATGTTCTCGTTATTGTTTTGTTTTGAAAACAGGGTCTCCCTATATCCCCAGCTGGCCTGGAACTTGCTGGCCTCCAACTCACAAAGATCTACCTACCTCTACCTCCTGAAAGCTGGGATTGAAGGCATTTGCCACCATACACAGTTGTATTTTCTTATTTTAAGAACATGTAGAAAACAATGTTCAGGGAAAATGGGTCTTTGTGCTGTAATATGGGAAACCTGAGTTAGACTCAAGAAAGTCCATACTGACCTCTTAGAGCTCCCTCAGTTTGATTTCCTGGAGGAGATCGTTGACTCCAGCCCACTTTTCTCCATCTGGCATCACCTAGAACACATTTGTGGGGCTGCAGTCCCATCCATTGGGATTCTGCTCAGCTGTGTTGAAGACAGGGGTGGGTGAGAAGCTGATGCCTTCTGGGTCAGGTTCTGTCCACACAGAGCACCTTTAAAAGGTACACATTTGCACATGGACAGTCTTATCCCTCCATATCAAAAGGCACAGACCTTAGAGACAAATTCTGTCCTTTTGCTGATTACAATTAGTGACGATTGATTATTACCACTGCTAAGTATCCGTCTGGTTTTGCGGAGGAGCCGGTTCCAGCTGGGATCACGATGAGAGGGGGCGGGTAGGCAGGAGAAATACACATATACAAATACACCGAAGGGTCTGGGCACGAGGAAAAACGTCTAGAGACCGGCAGTCACCTCCTAAGAACTCACAGAGCGGCGGAGGCCCGCATTCCAGCGAGCGGGACACGGACGGTGGTTCCCTGATGTGCCAACACCAGATCTGTCCAGCCGGGACGTGGTGGTGACCGCGCCTAGAACAGCCTTTACCAGTAGCAGCTGCAGCAAGCAGGGCGGCAGGACAAATCCCACCCCCGGCCCCGCCCGTCCAATCCATCTTGCAGGGAAGGCGACGCTTCCAGGGTGAAGCGAGCGGTGGGGAGGGGAAAATCAGCTTTAGCGGCTCCCGACAGGTGTCTGCTGGAGAGGGCGGAGCGGGGCAGGAAGGATGAAGAGGGAGGGGCGGCGCTGCCCCTTTAAGAGGCGGCAGCCGAGCCGGGACCTTTTCTCTTTCCCCGGAAGGAAAGCGGAGCACGGGCTGGGCGCGCAAGGTGGGGAGGTACCGGGCTGGGCGGTGGGGAGGCGGGGCTCGCGGAGGAGGACCACTCCCTCCAGCCCTCCTTGCGGTGGACGAGTCGGCCTTCCCGGATCCACCACCAAGCCGGGTTCTAAAGAGATAGCACAGCTGAGGGGGCGCGGCTGGGACGTTCCGGGGGGCCGGGTGCCCGGGGCAGCGGAAGGTGACCAGGCAACGGGACCAACGGATTAGACCCACCGCCTGGAAGGGGATTGGAGAAGCGCCAACCCCGAGCAGACGTGCAACTGACCCGGACTGGGGACTAGAGACCGCTCAGCGCTGGGGCGCGGAGGCGCGGCGCCCTCGGGTGTCCTCTGGCGGCGCCGGGAGCAGGTGGACAGGTCCTCGCCCCCGGCGGCGCCCTCTCGCGCTGTCGCCGGGCCCGGGCTCGCGCTTATAGCCATGGGCCCGGGTCCCCGCCGCACGCACCGCGACCCTCTCTGGCTTCTGTACGCGCTCGCCTTGATGGTGGCGGTGGGCGGCCGCGTCGCCTCCGCCTTCAACCTGGACACCCGATTCCTGGTGGTGAAAGAGGCGGAGAACCGGGGCAGCCTCTTCGGTTACTCAGTCGCCCTCCATCGGCAGACGGAGCGACAGCAGCGCTACCTGTAAGTCAGGCTGGCGGAGGTGGGTTGGGGCGCGGTGCGAGAGAGGATGCGAGCGCGGGTACCGGTCCTGAGCCGAGTGGGAGCTCTGGGCCCTCTGACTTTCCAGGCCTGCTGCTTGCGGCTCGCTTTGATGGGCCAGGATTTAGGGGGCGGGTACCTCCGCAGCCCTCGGCTTGGAGGGAAGTGGAGGATGGGGGACAGTAATCATCAGCAAGTGCTGACCTGGCCAGAACCTGTCTAGACGCGGCTGCTTCACCCTTCAGACCTCTCGTGCCAGCGGAAGTAGGGTCTCTGTTGCCCAGCACCCTGTGAATCCAGTACTTAACGTTGGCTTCTCTCCGGGGCCAGGAGCTGGGGGAATCCTGTAAAATAAACACCTATTGGACCTCTCTCCTCCACCTTGGAAGAACCCGCGAACGTTTGCATTTAACCCCCCTACACCCCTCATTTAGTTTGTGGCCACAGCAGCCACGCCCTCTGCAGAGTCAGGCTGGAAGGCTTCTCAAGAGCGTGTTGGCCTTGCAGAGTGAGGAGGGGATAGTAGAAGACAGAATTGGCCTTGTCCCAAGTTCCAGAGGCCAGAGCCCACCCGGAAGCAGTGGTGTGCTCCCACCAGCCGTCTTCCCTGCATTCCACAGATTCATGTTGGATCAGCAGCCCTCAGTGTTTGTTTTGGTTTGAAGAGGGAAATGGCTCTCCTTTGCAACAGTTGCATGAAGGAGCGGGAAGAGCTGAGTAGAGTGGAGGAGACTATATACAGTTGCCTGCCCCTCCCCAAGTGCATTTATTTCCAAAGGGACATGTCCAGGTGTCTGAGGTTTCCCTGTATGGCTCTGTGTGCTGAGGTCGGCAGCTGGGGGAAGAGAGAGGCTGGAGAAGGTGAGGCTGCCCAGGGAGGGACAGTGATTAGGACAGGTCACCCCACCCCTTCTACTTCCTTGAGCTGGGTGGCCTGCCAGGCATTTACCCCAACCTGGTCTCCTCTGATCCTACTAAACTGGAAAATATGGTCAGATTAAGTATGTGTTGAAATCTCTCCCTGCTCTGGCTGGGGCCTGTAGAAACTTGAGGAAGTCTGGAATGTTCAAAGTCCAACTCTTCTCAAACTTGGCCTCTGCCCTGCTGGCCCAGCCCCTGTCCATTCTACCCACCTGGACTTAGCAGCCACCCTACCTTGCTCTAGCAGACGTTAGGGCCACCACACCCTTCCCGCCCCAGCCAGGCAGCTTTAACTAACTCTCCACTTTTCTGAGGCCTTGCTTGACTATACAAGTTGTTACAGCTGTCCCTTTTCTTTCCTATCCCAGAATACAGTTTTTAGGTGTTTTGATGCTGGATGTGTATGCGCTAACTCAGTCGAAGCGATCTGGAAAGAGTAAAACATAATTCTGCAGCCCCTCCCCCTCTGCTCTGTGACCTTGAACAAGATATTTCTCTTCCAGGGGCCAGTTTTCCCCATAAAGAGGTTGGGCTTCCATCTGTATGTTCCTTCCTACCTCTACTGGCCTGTGTGAGATAGAAGAGGTTGAGCCCATCTGAGCTGCAGCTTCTTCATGTGTGGAGAATAACATGCCTTCTTAATGTTAGTGGTACTTTAATTAGATAGTATATATAGAATGGTCCTCATGTGCCCAGTTCCCCATGGGGCACCAGAAGGCTCTGAGGCTGAGACTAGGATGTGGGTGTACCTCCTTCACCCATGGGTTCTACCCAAGGTGACCAGTGAAAGAGTTCTGCTCTCCTCTCCAGGCAGCTGGAGAGAGGCTAGAACTAATGGACCTCTGAGGACAGGTGGTTCTGGCCAGATGGGCCTTCTCAATCCTGCCCAGAACTGTTTCTGTATTTTAAGTCATCTCCTCATCTTACTGAGTTCAGCCCCCTGTCCTTTGGGAGAGCCAGCTGGGCTTCACTGCAGTCAGCTGTGTAGCCAGATGTAGACAGCTGCCCAAGTGTTCCAGGGAACTAATATCTCAGATAGCAGCCTTGGATTCTGTCAATATCAGGAGCAGGTGGTTCATGGTCCTGGATGGGCCCTTCATCTGGGGTTTGCATGGGTTTGCAGGGACCCCTGAGAATATAATGCAGTCATGGGTTTATAAGTTGTCTTGGGAACTGGAAGAGGGGAGTGCACAGCTTCTGTGATCTCAGAGGTTTTTGTCCCAGAAATGGTTAAAAATCCAAGTGTGCCCTGTTGCTGCCTACCACTTTCAGCTCCATGTTAGAGTTCCCTATCTACAACCCAGGCCCCAAGCACTCAGTCTCTGGTTAGTGAGGAAATGGAGACAATCACTCAGTTTGGACTTTTTGATGAGATACATGAGGGCTCCTTGGAGAGAGAGAGAGACTGCTCCTCTGAGAGGTGGTTAATGGCCCTCTCTGCACCTGCTCTGTTTTCCCCTTCTCCACTGTCCTGACCTCTTCTGATGGGGGTGGGAATCCCTCTGAACCCTTCTCCCTTTCATCCTTGGAAATGAGGGTGTCTGGGAAGCCTTGGAGGGAGTGGCTACTGCCCCTGGAAATGAGGTCACACCTGAGGTAAGATGGAGCCTGGCTTACCTGTTGTGCTCTCTTGAAACATGCTCCCTGAGCAGGAACATTTCTGGCAGCCTCTGTGGCTCATGACAACAGAAATGGCGCAGCAGCTGTGGCTTTGGGCACAAGGCCTGCACACAGTTTACCCTCTCTGCTGGCTTTCTCAGTGACCAGTCCAGGCAAAGGGGCTTTAAAGTAAGAAGAGGTAGAGGAAGGCTGATCTTGCAGAAAGAGAAACAGCAAAAAGAGCTTGGTATGTAAATGGGATGGCAGACACCTGTCATCCCAGCACTCAAAGAGGAAGACAGGAGGATTGGCAGCTTGATGCCAATCTGGACTACATAGTGAGACTCTTGTCTCAAAATAAAGGGTGGGGGATTGTGAGGTGACTGGTCAGAGCTTAACAGGAGCAAAGGATAAAGATGTCCGTAGCAGTAAGAGTGACTGAGGTTAGACAACACCAAGAATGCACTAAAGGGTCAAATACAGAATACCTACTAAACAACCAGAGCAGAAATGAGAAAAAACAGCTTTGTTCTTTTTCACCTAAAGCCCTGCCAAGGTCTCTTTCTTCAGTCCTTCTCATTCTTTCACTCCCTTCAGCTTGTTGCTCTGGTTCTAGGGCTGAGTCACCAGGGGAGAGGGGGTTGGGTGGGCAGCGTAAGGAGTAGGGAAGGATGGTGAGGGCTGCAGTTTCAGCCGCCATAGGAGAGCCTCTGGGGAGGTGGCTAGATCGGGCAGCAGGGCTGGCACAGAGCTGGCATCCAGGCATCTGAGAACTGACCCCCCCCCCTCAGGCTGGAGCAGCTATCTCCTCCCCTCTTGCTTCCTGGCCTGTTATTAGAGGGGAACAGTGACCATTAAGACCCTAGGAACAAGTCCCTGGGGGCCCTCAGGTCTGAGTGCTAGGTCCTCTGTTCCTGGTCCAAAATCTTTCCATAGGCGCCACCCCACATCTCCTCTGAGACAAAGTCGGGGAAATTGAAACATACAGACTTTCTTTGAGCATCACTCCACTCCAGAATCCTGGGGGCCTCTTCCTCTTTGAGGTGATCCCGGCTGGTGCCCTGAACTCTTCTGGGCTCCATTCCCCAGCCTTCTCAGATTCTGCTGCTTTCTGTTCAGTTATTCCATTAGCTTTCATCTGCCTTGGAGGAATGAAGGTGTGGAGCACTGGGCAGGATGAAGAAGAGCCCCACCCTCTGCACTTGATGCTCAGGGGCTCCCCAGAGGCCAGGAGGGGCTTTCTTGTTGGAGCCAAATGAAAGGGTGAAGAGGCAGCTGTTGAGAGCCCTTGATCAGCCATTTCACCCATCCCCCTTCCTCCAGGGGTGCTGTCTGTACCCCCAGACCAGCTTGACTCCAGGAGACAGAGGTTCCCTCTCCTGAGAGCTTGCTCTAAGCAACCCTGCATCATCTCTGCCTCTTCTGACTGTGGCTGGGAGACAGGTTCAGTGGGAGTCTGAGAGGGATCAGCTTTTAGACTTTTTGATCTGGACCCAGCAGGGACTACCTGTTAGCAGAGGTGTTCCTTTGCATATTTTACATTTGAATTTGCATACTGATGAGCTTGCTTCCAGTTTGAGGATTCCCTAACCCCTATCACACACAAACCTGGCTGTGGTGGGAGGAAGCTGGACCTATCTTCCCTGTCTTCCCCCATCTATGCGCAGGCCTCTGGCTATAGACCCACTGCATCCTGGGCTGGGAGCCAGAGGGCCTTAAAGGGCCTCAAAGCAGGCCAAGTAGGAACTAAAAATACTCCAGGGGGTGTGGGGGAGCTCCCAGTGGAATCTCTGAGAAAGGAGGGGCCTGGGATGTGATGCTGGAATTAGGGAGTTGGCTCTGCCCCAGCTCCCATCAGTAGGCACAAGCCTAGCTCTGGGCAAGGACTGGAGGCTGTAGGTGGTATGGGATCTTATTCCAATCCAATCACCATTTATGCTTGGCTCTGCCCGTTCAATACCTCAGGAAACTAAGAGGAGGGGTCCCTCAGTCCCTTTTAGCTGAGGCAGACCTGGGAGGCATGGAAACCTTGCTCCTCAGGTACCTCTTGATGGATAGATTGGGCAGGCCAGTGGTAGCCATGAGGGCAATGCAATGCATCCATTACACTGCATACTCCCCTGAAGCCTATACCCCTTCAAGCTCATTGTAGCGGACCCCACTTCCAGCCAACTCTGAGCTTCTTTCTTAGATGAGCGACTGCCTGGTATCCTCAGGCTGTGGAAGTCCTACTTATATTCCATCCCCTGTTTCTTCTGAACAATGAAGTAGTCTGTCCTTTTCTCCCTGCTCAATGGTCCCTAACCTGGTGGACAGGAATTCCTGGGTCCCTGGAGGGAGTCTGGGGTCAGGCTAGGGCCAGTCCTGGTGCCACAAGAAACTAGAGCAGCAGTGCTCATGCCAGCCATGGCTTTATAGTCAGAAACCCTTTTGCAGAAGGAGCCTATTCGTTTCCCCGAATCCTAGAGTTGGCAGGTGATCCCACGGTTCCCATTTTACAGATAAGACCCTCAAGACTCAGAGAGGAAAGCACCTAGATGCAGGACCAGTCCTAGAACCAGGTCCCTAGCTCCCAGGCTGAGATATTCCTTTCCCATAGGTCCTGGCTTCCTTATCTCATCTGTCAGGCATGCCAAGGGGTGGGTTCCTCTGGTGAGCCTGGGTGGTCAGACAGTGGACTCAGGAGGCAGCCTCCCCACCCTGGATAGAAGGTGACTAATGTCCTTGCTGTCATATCCGCTCCTTGACATCCTTCCCCAGGGTGTTCATAACACTACTCTGGGGCAACTTCACCTCCTGCTCCCAGAAATACCTCCCCAGGGTGAGTTCTCTGAGCTGCAGAGGTGAGGTACGGCAGCAGAGGTCCACCCCTTTCCTAGCACCCCCAGGCAGTACATTCCTGACTCCCAGAAGGCGGAGGCAACCCAGGCCCCAGCATGCCTGGGCCCAGCCCTACCCACTCCCTGCTGCCCTCTCTCCTAGGTCCCAGGCAGGGCTGTAGTCACAGCCGTTGCTCAGCACTTCCAGACTGGCAAGAGGCCTGGAGCCCAAGTTCTGAGCCTTGAGCCTCAGGGCCACAGTGTTGCTGGGCTAAACAGAGGAGCGCCTAGGAGGTGCTGCCTGCCACCCAGGAGGCTGAGCTGGCAGGAGGGGGAGGCGTCCTGGCAGAACACTGAGAGGCTGCAGGGAGGAGATATGGGGAAGTACTTGATTCTGAAGCTGGAGTGCCCCAGGTGCATCCACAGGGCCTGTGGCAGCTGGAGAACTTCCTCTCTCACAAATACCCAAGGGTGGTCCCCTGGTCTCTCTGTTCCAGTCACCCCTCTGGTGTGTAATGGGGTTCCAGGGAACTTATGGACACTTCTTAGTGTCTTTAAAGATGGATTCTGAGAACAAGGTGATAGCCCTTGTCCCATCTCACCCACTGGAACTCTGCTCTTAGGCTACACTGTTCAAGTGTCAGGTATCCAGCCCCACCCTGTACCTTGTGTGCTGGTCTCGAGGTGGGGGTTGGGGGAATGAGGACATCATCCTGGTCATTTAGGGATCCAGACCTCCTAGAACTATGTAATCAATAGCCTCAAGAGGAAAGATCTAGGTTTCTAACAACTCACTTGGCCCTATACAGGTTCTCTCTCTGTCTTCCCTCCTGCCCCCAGGGTCACTTGAACCCAGGGTCACCATTCCTCCCATCTTGTTCTCTTCAAGGCTACCTTTACCTCTGAGGCCAAAGGATTCTTTCCCAAACCCAAGTCTTAGGATGGGGATGTAACTCATTTGGTAGCGTGCTTGCCTAGCTAGCATTCAGGAAGATCTGGGTTCATTTCCTGGAACTGTATAAGCTGGATGTGGTGGTACATATCTGAAAAATCCCAGCATTTGGGAGGTAGGTGCAGGAGGATCAAAATTTTAAGGTCATCCTTGGCTATATACTGTTTGAGGCTAGTCTGGGCTATGTGAGACCCTGTCTTGAAAGAAAAGGAAGGAGGGGAGGAAGGAAGGAAGGGAGGGAGGGAGGGAGGGAGGGAGGGAGGAAGGAAGGAAGGAAGGAAGGGAAAGAAAGAAAAAGAAAAAAAAAGAAAGGAAAGATCTGATCATGTCACTCCCTTGCCCAAGTCCCTCTGTGGCTCCTCTAAGGTCCTTGCCACCAGCTGTGTGCTTCCCCCAATGTTCTTCCTAGGTTCTGGCTGTACGAAGGGCCAGTCCCTAAATCACTGGCTTGCTCATGCTTCCTGGCCCTTGCACATGCTGTACCTTTGTCTACAGTGTCTTTCTTCCTCTTCTTCATTGGGTGACTCCTGGCCATTGTCCTCACACTCAGGCCGGGACACCTCATGTACAGGCCTCTCTGCTTTCCTCATGAGACATTTATGTGTAGGCCTCATGCTTTCTGGTCCACCTTCCCCTGTTCTGGGCTCTCTTGAAGGGCAGGACTGAAGTTCATTAATGCCCTAGCCCCAGAGCATGGCATAGAGTTGATGTTCACTAAATGAATGTTGAATTGCAAATCAGGTGGAGGGAGGCTTGGAAAGTCATATCGGCCCACCTGCCTCCCTTCCCCAGGCTCCTGGCTGGTGCTCCCCGGGATCTCGCTGTGCCTGATGGCTATACCAACCGGACTGGTGCTGTGTACCTGTGCCCCCTCACCAACCTCAAGAATGATTGTGAGCGGATGGATATCTCAGAGAAAAGTAAGAAGGGACTAGGGAGAAGGGCTAAGTTGGGAGCTTGGTAGAGGGAGCCTAGAGAGGAAATACAAGGGCTAGCTTGTTCACTAGGCAGAGAGAGTAGTTCATGCCTGTTATCCTAAAGCTTGAGGCTGAAGCAGAAGGACAGCAAGGTTAAGGCCAGTTTGGGAAATATAGTGAGTTCCAGGCCAGCCTGAGCTATATAGGGAGTCACTGGCTCAGAAAACAAAAAAGACGGGACTGGAGAGATGGCTCAGAGGTTAAGAGTACTAGCTGCTTTTGCAGAGAACCCAGGTTCAATTCTTAGCACCCACATGGCGGCTAACAGCCATCTGTAACTCCAGTTTCAGGGCACCTGACGCCCTTTTCTGACCTTGGTGGACATTGCATGACATGAGTGCACGTATATGAAGGCAGTACACTCATATATAAAATTTTAAAAAATAAAGAAAAAAAAAAAAAGACAAAAGGCTAGCTTGATTCTTGTCCAGCTGGGAAGGGGGAGCAAGAGGAGGGAACGTTATATAGGGTGAGCTTACAGCAGTGAGAGGCAGGAAACAGAGAGGAGGGAGGGCCGCCCTCTGGAGGCTTTGCACACTGGAATATAGGGTGAGGGGTCATTGCTCATGAGCTTGCCTATGTCTACAGGTGACCCTGACCATCACATTATTGAGGACATGTGGCTTGGGGTGACTGTGGCCAGCCAGGGTCCTGCAGGAAGAGTTCTGGTAAGTGGGCATTTACCATCATCTTCCCAGAGCTGGGGAGGACAGCACTGGGTGGGAGGGGATCCTCCCCCTATGTGCATATGCTGGGGCCTTTGCAAACTCCATTTTTTGTGACCACATGTTTCTACAGGCCTGTATGTCCCCTGCTCCCTGCACTCTGGGGAGAGGGTTGTCTGGTACTTTCCCAGCGCTGGACATGGCATGGGTCGTGTATGACCTGCAAGCATGCTTATCATTCATGGGAAAGAGCTGAGGGAACTTGGAGGGGGAAAGGGCAGAGAGAGCCTCGGGCGGTGGGGCACTGGCAGGCACTCCTTCCTGGGAGGCTGGCTGCCGGAAGAGGCACAGCCCTGATGGCCCTGCCTCAGCCCTGCTCTGATTTGGGAGCCACTCCCTGCTGTCAGTTGTCACCTTGTGCTGACAATTCTTCAGTGCCAGCCCTTGGGTGGGTGTCTCAATTCAATTTCTGTGTCCCAGATAGATATTATTTTTCAATTTATGTCAAATATACACAGTGAAATGTATAGATTTTAAACTATTAGCTTTGACAAATGTACAAGCTTGTGTCAGTAACACCCCATGAAACATAGAGTGTATTAATATCACTCCAGAAAGTTCTCTGTGCCACCTCTGATCAGTCAAGCCTCCCATAGCTATCCCTGCTGTGATTTCTGTTGCCTTTGTAAGGTTGGTACCTTTCTATACCCCCTGCTGCGTGTGACTGTACATTTAGGAGGCTGTTTAAAGTGATTGTAGAAGCGAGGTCTTCAGCAATTAGCTACTCACCCACCCACTCATTAACTCACTCAACAAATATTTAGTTAGCACCTACTGTGTACTAAGTCCTGGGCTAGCACTAGAAACTTAGCACTGCCTGAGGACAAGTTCATGTGACATGCTAGTGGTGCTCACAGCTGGGAGGGGACAGAGAAAGCAAACAAACAAGAGGGATTCCTGTTTCTAGAGTTCGCATTGCCCAAAACACTTTAAAATTTTTTTTCTTTCTTAAAAAATATTTTATTTATTATTTTTATTTTATGTGTGTATTGCCTGCATGTAGGTAAGTGCACCGTGTTGTGCAGTGCCCATGGAGGACCGACGAGGCTATTGTATCCCCTGGAACTGGAGTTACAGACAGTTGTTAGCTGCCATATGGGTGCTGGGAATTGAACCCAGGTCCTCTGCAAGAGCAGCTAGTGCTCTTAACCACTGAATAATCTCTCCAACTCTTCAAACATCTCTCTAACCCCCTCAAAACTCTTTTTAAAAATTAGGTTTGGCTTCTGCTTTATTTTGATTTTATTTTACTTGGAGGGATTTTTTTTTTTAATCTATGTTAAAGTGTTAAAGATGAAACCCAGGACCTTGCAAATGCTAGGCAATTATTTCAACACTGAGTCATACCTCCAGCCCTAAAACAGTTGTACTGATCTACTGTTTTACCCAATAAATATATTAATTATGTACCTTCAGTGTGCCTGAAGATGCAAGCAGATTCTCACCTTTGTGTGATAGCTCAGCATAGGGCAGAAGAGCTCAGACTTTGGAGTCAAGGCTGTTGGTTTGAACATTCTTTGCCTCTATCTAGATATAAGCTCTTGGGCAAGTCACTAAGCAATCTGTGAATCTATGCCTTAGTATTTTTGTTTTTTTATAGCCAAAATGGGGAAAATAATCTTAACACCTTAGGGTTATTAGCAGAATTAAAAGCTAATACAAAATCAGGTGTGGTGGCACATACTTTTAATCCCAGCACTTGGGAGGCAGAGGCAGGTGGATCTCTGTGAACTGGAGGCCAACTTGGTCTATATAAGAAGTTCCAGGCCAGCTGGGGCTACAGGGAGACCCTGTTTCAAAAAACAAAAACAACCCCAACCCCTCCAACAGAACAAAACAAGAAAAGAGTTAATATGAGAGGGCTGGAGAAATGACTTAGCATTTAAAGTACTTGCTCTCAGAGGACCAGAGTTCAGTTCCCAGCACCTACATTGGTGACTCACAACCACCTGAAACCCCAGCTCCAGAGGATCCCATGCCTTCTGGTCTCTGATGCACCCACACATAGATGCACATACACACATACAGACACACACACACACACACACACATACACATGAATAAAAATTAAATCTTTAAAAAATAGTTCATGGGGCTGGAAAGATAGCTCAGCTATTAAGAGCAGTGGCTGCTCTTGTAGCCACTTGGATTCTAGTCCCAGCACCCACGTGGTGGCTAACAACCATCCGAAATTCTAGTTCCAGGGGAATCCAATGCCCTTTTCTGACCTCTGCAGGCATTGCATGACATGGGTGCACTTACATACACGCAGGCAATAAACTCAAACATATAAAATAAAAATAATAAATAATATATTTTATAAAACAGTTTATATGAGACTAGCTTGGACTCCTGCTTGGCATATAGTTAGTAAGAGTTCAGTAAGTGTTAGTTGCTGCTATTAACATTAGTATTGTTATTACTATTTAAAGCAGTCCTTTCATTAAGGGACAGAGTCACCTAGGGACAAAAGATGCAAAGTTCCTAATCTCTGTAAATAGCTGCTTTTAGATTCAGGAGCCTAAGCCCCACATTCCCTCATCCATCTCCTCTTCCTTTTACTAAGATCGCTAAACTTCTCAAATGTATGGCTCCTGGCTTCCCAGATATGTTTTTGACCTTTGATTCCTGAATACTGGAAAGGGGGTGCAGGCTTCAGCATTCTTGTAAAAAGAAAAAGAAGCCAGAGTCTCCCTTTGGCCCCTGTCCCACAAAGCCAATGATGCCCAGGATGAGGGATAGCTGGCTGTGGGTCCCCTGCTCCTGGCTAAGGCTGAATATGTGTGTGTGTATCTCCAGGTCTGTGCCCACCGCTATACCCAGGTGCTGTGGTCAGGGATGGAGGACCAGAGGCGCATGGTGGGCAAGTGCTACGTGCGGGGCAATGATCTACAGCTGGACTCCAGTGATGACTGGCAGACCTACCATAATGAGATGTGCAACAGCAACACTGACTACTTGCAGACCGGCATGTGCCAGCTGGGCACCAGTGGCGGCTTCACCCAGAACACTGTGTTCTTCGGTGCCCCTGGAGCCTATAACTGGAAAGGTGGGAACCTGGGGGAAGGGGAGGAGCAGAGACTACCTACCCTCAGTAAGCCACTGGGACAGCTAGCCCAGACCATTCAGAGAAGCAAGTAGAGAAGACGCTTTACCACCCAGCACTGGGCTTACAGACATGTTGCTGAACCTATCTTTTTTTTATTATTCATTTTTATTTTATGTTTCTGGTGTCTTACCTGCATATGTGTAAGTCTACCATGTGTGGGCAATGCCTGGGGAGGCCAGAAGACATCAGAGCCCCTGAAACTGGAGTTGTTAGCAGTCATGTGGGTACTGGGAACCAAACCTGGATCTCTGCTCTTAACTGCTGAGCCAGCTCTTCAGTCCCAGGACCTGTCTTTTTATGTGGGTGCTGGGGATCTGAACTCATGCTTGCATGGTACATACTTTACTGACTGAGTCATTGTCCCAACTCCGCATACATGTCACCTTAAGTAATTCTAAAAAACCCTATTTTTGGTATTGTTTGGTTTGGGGTGTTTGTTTGTTTGTTTTAGACAGGGTCTCATACTATGAACTCACTATGTAGTGTAGGCTATTCTTAAACTCACAGCTATCCTCCTGCCTGCCTTTGCCTTCTGAGTGCTGAAATTAAAGGTGTAAGCCTGGTATTTCTAAAGTACTCTTGTGAAGCAAGTATTATTATACCCATTTTACTTAATAAAAAAATTGAGTCTTGGGACTGGAGAGATGGCTTAGCAGTTAAGAGCATTTGCTGCTCTTCTAGAAGGACCCAGTTCATCTCCCAGCACCCACATAGTGGCTCACAATCCTCTATCACACCAGTTGCAGGATATCTAACACCCTCTAGCCTCTGTGAACACAGGACAGGCATGTGGTGCACATATGTACACGCAGACAAAACACTCACATATAAAATAAAAAATAAATCAGTCTTAGAAAAATTGAGTCTTAAAGAAGGTCAGCAATAAATAGTGAAACCTGGATTGGAATGTAGTCCATCTGACTTCAGCTTAACCTCTGAAAACTTACTTTGCACCTGCAACATGCTCCTGGTACAACCACTAAAATAGTCTCTTAGGGTTTGGTAGAATCAAGGGTAAAAATGGCTAGTGGCATAATCCTGTGGCAGCAGGACTAAGGATTCAAGGCCTGCCTGAGCTATAGAGTGAATTCAGGGCCAGCATGGGTAACTTAGCAAGACCCCATTTCAAAATAATAAATAAATAAATAAACAAAAGCCTGAAGATGTAGCTCAGTGGTAGATCACTTACCCAGTTTGTGTGAGGCTCTATGTTCCATCTTCAGTACTACAAATTAAGAAAAAAAGGGAGGGGAGCTGAAGAGATGGCTCAGTGGTTAAGAGCACTGACTGCTTTTACAGAGGACCCAGGTTTGGTTCCCAACACCCACATAAGAGCTCACAACCATTCATAACTCCAGTTCCAGGGGATCGAACACCCTCTTCTGACCTCTGTGGCATTATGTGCATGTACTGTACTTACATACATGTAGGCAAAACATCATACACATAAAATAAAAGTAAATCAAAAGAATTTTTAATGTTTAAAAGAAAAAAATAATAAAAATGCTTCCCTTCTCCCTCAAATTTCCTTATCCCACTTCCTAGTGTTAATAGTGTCTTGGGAATCCTTCTATACTTATTTCAGTACTTATAGGTATCTTTTTTAAAAAACAGAAGTAGGAGCCCCTGTGGTGGCCTATACCTTTAATCCCAGCACTTGGGAGGCAGAAACAGGTAGATCTCTGTGAGATTGAGGCCAGCCAGGTCTACATAGGGAGTTCCAGGACAGCTGGGAGCTGGAACTACCCTGTCTCAAAAAAAAAAAAAAGAAACCCCAAAATAAATAAACAAAAAACAGAAATACAGTTATACTAAATGTTCTATTTTGCTACTTTACTTTCTCTGTTCACTTATTAAAAGCTACAGGCAATGTTTCATTGTTTCATGTCAATACATACAGGACTGTCCTTTTGAGACTGCAGAATATTTCATTGTATCAAGATCTTTGCTCAAGTCAGGTGTAGTGGTACATGCAACACCTGGGAGACTGAAGCAGAAACATCATGAGTTCAAGGCCAGTCTGGTCTACATAAGTAAGAACCTGTCACAAAACAACACCGGGGCTGGAGAGATGGCTCAGTGGTTAAGAACATGGGCTGTTCTTGCAGAAGACCCGGGTTCGAATCCCAGCACCTACATGGCAGCTACAACTGTCCGATACTCCAGTTCCAGGGGATCCGACAGCCTCTTCTGTCCTCTGTGGGCATTGCATGACATGGGTGCACTTATCTACACGCAGGCAATACACACATACACATAAAATAAAACAACAACAACACCACACACACACACACACACACACACGCTCATAGCTGCCACTCCACAGTCTCAGAAGTATCTGATGATTCACCATCCCTCTACCCCTTTGCCTCTCTCCATCATACAAGCTGTAGTAACAGCAGACCCTTCTCCCTTCCTGAACACTTACTGTTATAGAATTAACAGGCAGAGAGCCTTGAACCTCTTCTTCATCAACAAGGAGCCTGGTATAGTCATAGCTCTGGGCTCTCCCCTCTTCCTTGGTTTGGCCCCCTCCCCATGTTCCTTTAGAGCCTTGGCTGTACCCAGGTCCTCTCCAGCAGCAACCCTGGGAGCAGAGACCAAGTAGCCAGCCAGCGTTTGGAGACAGTGGTATGGAGTGTGGTCATGTAGCCTAAAGAGTGATGAGGCATGGGCTAGGGTCTAATACCCAGGAGCTTGGAGGACAGGATTCCAGCCATGCCCTGCAGTCAGTTCCTACAGGACTGTGAGCACATAATTTCTCCCCAAGACTCACTTTTCTCATATGCAGAATGGAAACCATCACAGAATTCTTAAAAAGGCAATGACTTAGAAATGGCAATGCTCACAAATAAAAAGGGTTAGTTATTGCTGTTATTATAAGTGGGGGCTGGATATGGTGGAGGAAAGAAATAGTAACGGACACTTTCCATTCCCCCTTCCCTAATCTCTGCAGGAAACAGTTACATGATTCAGCGGAAGGACTGGGATTTATCTGAATATAGCTATAAAGACCCAGAGGATCAAGGAAACCTCTATATTGGTGAGTTCAGTGCTTATGGCCCATTGGGGGATAGGAGAAGCCAGCTTGGTCTCTAACACACTGGCCCTTTTACCTCTGGTGTGCCGTGGAGTGATACTACAGTGCAAGTGTGACTAGTGGCAATTAGTTCAATTGGCACATACTTATTGAGAACTGACTGTATGTGAACCACTGGTCTAAGTTCCCATATGCAAAATTGACACCTACATGAAGCTCTCAGCCCAGTGTCCAGGGAGGACTAAGACTGATCCACTTTTTTGCCCAACTTGGCACAGAGGAATAGATGGTAACGGGGTGAGGGCAGGCAACTAGGGGAATAGGCCCAGTGTAGAAGGGGACAAAGTTTACTGAGGTCTTGATTAAACACCTTCCCCTTATCCCAGGGTATGCTGTGCAGGTAGGCAGCGCCATCCTCCACCCCACGAACATCACTGTTGTGGCGGGTGCCCCACGGCACCAACATATTGGTGCTGTCTTCTTGCTGAGCCAGGAGACAGGTGGAGACCTGCGGAGGAGGCAGGTGCTGGAGGGCACGCAGGTGGGCGCGTATTTTGGCAGCGCCATTGCTCTGGCAGACCTGAACAATGATGGGTGAGAACCTAGGGATATTGGATATCTTCTGGGACCAGGGAGAAAGGTGGGGAAGGAGATGACAGGCTTGCCTAAGCTAGGTCAAGGAAGCGGGAACTTTGCAATCTTGCATTCCCTGTTTTGTAGTATTTTGCAATCAGACATTATGGGAGTCTGGACATTAGCATGTCATTTGCATGGCACTTGTGCTTGCTTGTCTGTACCTTGTCATTCATGCCTGTCATTCATAAGGCTCCAGTGGGTGGGGGCTGTTTGGGTGTGAACCTTGCCTGCATGGTTTCTCCATGATACACATTTTCTATTTGGTAGGTCTTGGCCTTTCCATAGCCTATGGTCAGAGGTGTCATTTGTGCAGCCTTGACTCAATCATGTTTGTTAAATGACAGTTAGGTTGTATATGGGGGGCCAGCTTCACATTCCTGTTCCTGTTCCTTCTCTCCTGTGCAGGTGGCAGGACCTCCTGGTGGGTGCTCCTTACTACTTTGAGCGGAAAGAGGAGGTAGGGGGTGCCGTCTATGTCTTCATGAACCAAGCAGGCACCTCTTTCCCTGACCAACCCTCTCTCCTGCTTCATGGACCCAGTCGGTCTGCTTTCGGCCTCTCTGTGGCCAGCATTGGTGACATCAACCAGGATGGATTCCAGGGTAGGAGCCAGCACCCCTCACTTAGCACCCTCATTGACTGAGCACCAACAGCATACCAGACTTGACAGGACGCACAGATCAGAAGGGATGGGCTCCAGGCCCAGTTTACTCAAAGGAATACTAGAGAGGAGATGCAGAGGGTACTAAGGATGCAAGTCAGGGGGATGTCTTAAAGGAGGTGATAAGTGGTTGGGCTAAGAGTACACAGAAGAGACAAACAGGACATAGCATGAGCGTGGGAACTTGAGTATACCCTACCCTAAGGGATGCCAAGTGTTCCATTGGAGACAGGTTAGGTGGATGCTCTGAAAGCCAGAGTAAATGGGGTTTTCTATTTGGGCCCCAGTGGGAGTGGAGTGAGGGGCATCCAGAGAAAGTTTTGGATCAAGAATGTGATATGATAGCTTGATACTTCGGAAGGTGATTTTGGAGGGGTGTGGGATGGAACTCGGTAGCAAGGCTTGTAAGATATGGAATGTAGACTATCAGGTGTGAGATGATAAGAAAGGGCTGGACAAAGATGGAGCCCTGGGTAGAGAGGTTTAGCACCAGTGCTCTGCAGGACTTGGGGAGCAATCCAACCTGGGAGAGGGATCATGGAAAGGACACATTAGGATGTGAGCCTGGTTGCCAGGAAGCACTTAGTTTACCAAAAATCAGTTCTCTGACAACCTCAGTTTCTCAGGTCATAACTGAGACCCAAAAGGAAGGCAGAGTCTCTTAAGAGGCAAAAATGGATGGCAGGAAGATCAGCCAATGGAGAGATTGCCAATGGTTAAAAGCACTGGCTGCTCTTGCAGAGGACCTGGGTTCAAATCCTAGTACCCACATGGTGGCTAATAACCATCTGTTGTAACTCCAGTTCCAGGGGATCCAGAGCCCTCTTCTGACCTCCACGGGCATTGCGTGACATGGATGTGCTTACATACAGGCAGGAAATACACTCATACACATAAAATAAAAACAATAAATAGAATACATTTTAAAATAAAATAACTTAAAAAAAGAGAAAGATTGGCCAATAAAGCCCAAGCACTTCCAACAGAAGGGTCGATGGTTTCAGTTTAGAACCTACTTACTCTTCCTTGGTGAGTAAGTACAGTTACCCAGGCCTTAGCTGATCAAATGCAGCAAATGAGGAAGTGTCCAGTAAAGTTTGAGAGCATCAAATGTGTTGAATTTATCTGAGGAAACATTGGTAAGAATTTTTAAAGTTTTGACCCTTGAAGGTCCACTATACTGAAGCAAGTCCACTATAGTGTTATGGTTATATTTCAATTCCCCCATCACTAGCTGTGTAATCTTGGGATTTGAGTCTGTCTGCTCATTTATAAAGGGGGACAATAAGAAATAAAATAAAATAAAGGGGGACAATAGTACGTACCCCACAGCACTCTTGTAAGGGTTAAATGAAATGACTGTTGTAACTACTGGCCATTATCAATGAGGAACACCTTTTCTGAGCCTGTTGGCAAATGTCATTAGAAGAATCAAGATGTCTAGAGAGGTGTTGGTAGGGGAATCAGGGAGGAGGAAAGCACCAGGTGCTGCTGAGGAATCTGGGGTGCAGCTCTGTCTGTGGCATTGACTTGCTGTGTAATTTGGGAAAGTTTCTTTCCTTTTCTTGAACCTCCTTGCCTACCTGAGCCACAGAGCTCTGAAGTTCCCTGCTGCTCTGAGAACATCTGGTAGGGGTAGGTCATTGCACATTGCCACATTAGGCTCAGTGGCCTGCAGCACAGGGTGAGGGAGGGTGAGGGACATGTGCTGGCCCAGAGTGCCTAGGTGACCCTATCCTATTTCTCCTCCCCAGACATTGCTGTGGGAGCACCGTTTGAGGCCTTGGGCAAGGTGTACATCTATCACAGCAGCTCCAGGGGGCTCCTCAGGCAGCCTCAGCAGGTATGGATCCATGTGGATAAGTCTCCTACCCATGTTCCCCTGGGCCTACTTCCCCAAGCTTGTCTCAGAGCCTGTCCCCACTGCTTCCCCTTGACTTCAGATAATCCATGGAGAGAAACTAGGTTTGCCTGGCTTGAGCACCTTTGGCTACTCTCTGAGTGGGAAGATGGACGTGGATGACAACTTCTACCCAGACCTGCTAGTAGGGAGCCTATCAGACCACATCGTGCTGCTGCGGTGAGCCCGGGGACCATGGGCAGGGTGTTTCCCTCTTCTGTAGAGCTTCATGAAGCTCACAGAAACCTGAGCCCTGTGGCCCTGGCCCAGGCAAGAGACACTGACACTGCCTATTTTTCTTGTCCCTGCAGAGCCCGACCTGTCATCAACATTCTCCACAGGACTTTGGTGGCCAGGCCAGCTGTTCTGGACCCCTCACATTGCACAGCTACCTCCTGGTGAGAGACTATCAGTCCAGTTTTCCTGCTTATTCCTTACATATGAACAGGCCAGGAAAGGCCCCAGGCCCCAAGTCCTTCCCCTTCACACTCTTGATGTCCCACTTTCAGCAGTTGGATTCTAGAAGCCAGTCTTGCCCTTCCTAACCAATATCACTAAAAGGCAGAGTTCTTTGCAGGAGCTAATAAGTGAACATGAGATTAGGAATCGCAGCTCTGAACCACCTGGCTCAACACCCAGCCACTCCTTGCTGGGGAAGGGCAGGTTGAACTCTGAGGAATGAGGTCAGGAAGAAGAGGAATGCCCTGAAGAGGTAGATGGGTTTGGGAAAATTATTATACAGCTGAGTCTCAGATGGTAGTCAGTTCACAGGGAGATAATTACTGTACAAAAAGCCCCTAGCACAGTACTCTGTACCTTAAGTGTTCAAAAAATATTAGTTTCTGAGAAAGTGATGGTCACAACAGCAGTGACAAAAAGGTCTTTGTGTGAATGAGGACATTGATATGATAGCAAAGTAGACAGAACAGAAAAGTAGGGGAGTGGGTGGAAAGAGGAGATCTGGAGATCCCAAGATCTGAGTTCAAGACTGGGCTGGGCCATCAATTGATGTCAGACAAGTCCTGTTCCCTTGGTTCCCAACCGGTGACCTCTAGCCTTGCTTGCTCTAGTAGGAGTGGGAAAGAAGAGACCCCCATAGCTTTGTAGACTCCCCAGTTTTGCTTTTCCCCAAAAGGGTCCTGAATTCCCTTTGCCTAGTACAGGAGTGAGAGCTAGGGCTGGCTGTCCCTTCTACTATGACCAGGCCCTCCTGTGCACCCCCAAACAGTGTGCAGGTGGAGCTGTGCTTTGCCTACAACCAGAGTGCTGGGAACCCCAACTACAGGCGGAACATTAGTAAGTTCTGGGCACAAAGTGGGGGTGGGGTACTCACCTGGCCACCTGTTGACTGCTCTGTCTGTCTGGCTGCAGCTCTGGCCTACACACTGGAGGCTGACAGGGACCGCCGTCCACCCAGGCTCCGTTTTGCCCGCAGCCAGTCAGCTGTCTTCCATGGCTTCTTCTCCATGCCTGAGATGCGCTGCCAGACACTGGAGCTGCTGCTGATGGTGAGGGAGGAACCATAGGGAAAGGGTGGAAGTGCCAGGATCCCTGGAAGAGGTGACCTATGCCCTTTCACATCAAAGCTGAGGGATGGGGTCCTTCCAGAGACAGAAGTTGGGAAAGTAAACCTGGGATGCCATAGTCTGATGGATATGGGTAGGGGGTAGGGGGCAGTACACAGTACCTAGCACATAATGGGGGAGAGATTAAGCCCTGGGGTGGGATGGGGCCAAGGGGCTTAGTACCTCTGAAGAGGTGTTGACTCTGGCACAGTCTGGAAAGAACAGATCCATGACTCAGGGACAAGCTCAGTCCTTTGGGGCATCATGGTATAAGGGAGAATTGAACCTGGAGAGTCAATAAATAAAGGAAACCTAAACCTCTGAGAAGGAGGAGAACTATCTCTTGGTGGAGGAGGGTGCAATTCAAGATGGTAGACTCAATTTGGTGATTGGATTAGAGGGGGTTCAGCTTACCCTGGGGGCTGGTCAGGGTAGGCAGAGTCCCAGCTCCTCCCTCTGGCTTAGTTAGGCTAGAGTTTAGAGAGGTGGGAAGATTCAACTTCGGGGTGGGCAGGACTGAGTTCACCTCATCCTCCATTCCCAGGACAACATTCGTGATAAACTCCGTCCCATCGTTATTTCCATGAATTACTCTTTACCCTTACGGATGCCTGAGTATCCCAAGCTGGGGCTGAGGTCTCTGGATGCCTACCCAGTCCTCAACCAGGCGCAGGCTCTGGAGAACCACACCGAGGTGAGCAGGGCCTGACCCCGGCTGGGAGGGCTGTGGAGTGAGAGGGTGTTGTGGGGTGCAGCCCCTCAAGCCTCACATTGCCCCCAGGTCCACTTCCAGAAGGAGTGTGGTCCAGACAACAAGTGCGACAGCAACCTCCAGATGCGCGCAGCTTTCGTGTCTGAACAGCTGCATCCGCTGAGCAGGTGGGATCTGGGTGGTGTCCATTGGTCAAGGGTTAGATGGCGCCTCATTGGCTAACAGATCTTGGGCAGGGCCTCACTAGCCATGGGTAGGATGGAGTATGAGGGGAGGGACTTTAAAGAGTCAGGTAAGGGGACTGGAGAGATGGCTCAGTGGTTAAGAGCACTGGCTGCCCTTGCAGAGGATCTGGGTTCAGTTCCCAGCACCCACATAGCAGCCATCTGTAACTCCAGTTCCAGGGGATCCTTTGTCCTCTTCTGACCTCTGTGGGCATTGTACAACACAAGTGTACTTATATACATGCAGGCAATACACTCATACACATAAAATAAAATTAAAATTTTTTTAAAAAAGTCAGGGGGGGCACTGGAGAGATGGCTCAGCAGTTAAGAACACTGGCTGCTCTTGTAGAGGACCAGGGTTCGAATTCCAGCACTCACATGGCATCTAACAACTGTCTGTAGCTCCAGTTCCAGGGAATCTGATGCCCTCTTCTGACCTCTGTGGGCATTGCACTACACAGGTGCACTTACACACATGCAGATAATACACTCATACACATAAAATATAAATAATTTAAAAGAGTCAGGTAGGACTGCAGGGTGTGAGCTTTCCCGGTCCTGGAGACCAGAGGGGCAGAGCCTAGTGGAGATGGGGCATATCCTTGGGGCTAGGACTTTTGGCTTAGTCTAGGGCTCCTCCCCTCAGGTTCCTGTATAGCAGAGACACTAAGAAACTACTCTTGAGCATCAATGTGACCAATATCCCAAGCCATGAGCGGGCTGGGGAGGATGCCCACGAGGCGCTACTCACCCTGGAGGTGCCTTCTGCTCTGCTACTGTCCTCAGTGCGCCCGGTAAGTGCTCACTGCTCAGGCTCAGAGCTCAAGCAGGGCTCCCTTTGTATTTGCACCCCAGTATACATGCCATGTACTTCCATTATCCTTTGCCATGTGCTGGTCTCCTCTGGGGCTCAGCCACCTCTGCTCCTTGAGAGACAAATCTCTAGGGCTTTTACTGTTCCATAGTAGAGGGAGGACAAGGATAACTCTGACCTTACTTGCTTTCTTTCCTCAGTCTGGGACCTGCCAATCTAATGAGACCATCCTGTGTGAACTAGGAAACCCCTTCAAACGGAACCAGAGGGTGAGCCCTGGCCACATCTTCCTGCTCCTGGAGGGTCCCTGATTTTCCTCTGGAGAGCTCCTAATCCCTACTTCGAGGGACTCCTTAAAAGAATGGAGGGGTGAAAGTGGAGGTGGGGGAAGGCACAGCAGGGTGTAAGGAGAGGTTCTGAAAAAGGGCCAGGGAGCTATGCCTGATTCTAGAGTGGGGGAAGCAGGAGGCCACTTTCACTGCTCATTCAAACTGTGTCTCAGTCTGGAACAGAACACACCGCTGCCTCTTTTACCTGATGTAACATCCCAACTTTCTCTAATGAAATAACTTTTTTCTTTCTTTCTTTCTTTCTTTCTTTCTTTCTTTCTTTCTTTCTTTCTTTCTCTCTCTCTCTCTCTTTCTTTCTTTCTTTCTTTCTTTTTTTGAGAGACAAGGTCTCCTTGTAGGCCCAGCTGGCCTGGAACTCACTATGTAGACCAGGCTGGCCTCAATTTTACAAAGATCTACCTGCCTCTGCCTCCCTAGTGCTGGGATTAAAGGTGTGTGCCACCACGCCTGGCTTTGAGATAGGTATTGTACAGAAAGGGAAACACTGGCTTAGAAAGTTTCAGTAACTTGCTTAAGGTTGTGCAAAAGTAGCAACAATCCCCAAAGTAGCAAGGATGTCAGCCAAGAAGATAAAGGGGACAGATAAAGTGGAGGGGTGGAGATCCCTCACCTAGACTGGCAGAAAGAGGAGGCATCTCCCCAGCTTAATGTCAGCTCTTCTCTTCTGCCATGACCCCTGTTGAGCTTCAATGCTCTTTTCTGTTTCCCTGACATTTGTGGTAGATGGAGCTGCTTATTGCCTTTGAGGTCACTGGAGTGACTCTGCACACAAGGGACCTTCAGGCACAGCTGCAGCTTTCCACGTGAGTGACCCATGGAAGCCAGTCTGGGCAGGGCTGAGGTCACATCCTGGGTCTCCTCCCTACTACCTGCATTCCCTCCTCAGGTCAAGTCACCAGGACAACCTGCAGCCCATGACCCTGACTCTGCAGGTGGACTACACGCTCCAGGCCTCACTCAGCATGTGGGTACCACTCTGTTCCCAGTCCTCTGTGCCTCAGCCAGGGCCTCCAGATCCCCAAGATTCCTCTTAAGTTCTTTTGGTCTGGTGTCCTCCTGGGTCATCCTTTCCCTTAATAGCAGTGGTCACCATCATGATGGCTGTTATCAGTCCCTGTAACACAGGTAGAAGGGGAGGAATCAGTACCTGGGGCTAAGGTTTGGTCCTTGGCATTTCCTTCTTTTTAAAAAAATTCCACTTTTTAAATTTTATTTATTTTTATTTTATGTGTCTCGGTGTTTTGCCTACATGTAAGTGTACCATGTAGGTGAAGTGCCTGTGGAGGCTAGAAAAGGGCTTCAGAGCCCCTGGAAGTGGAGTTACAGATAGTTGTTAGCCGCCATATGCATGCTGAGAACCAAACCTAGGTCTTCTGGAAGAGCAGCAAGTGCTTTTAACCACTAAACCATCTCCTCAGCAATTTCACCTTATTTTCTCGATATTTCTTCCTCCCTCTCTCTCTCTCTCTCTCTGTCTCTGTACAGTCATGCACAAGCTATGAAGTGCATGTGGAGGTCAGAGGACAACGTCGGATGTTGGTTCTCACTATCCACCTTGTCTGAGGCAAACTGTCTTTGCTGTTTGCCATTGTATACAACAGACTGCATATATGCAGCCAGGCTTGCTGGCCCATGGACTTCCCCATGGACTCTCCTGTGTTCACCTCCCATTTTACCTTAGGATTACATGCTTGATTTTTATATGGGTTCTGGGGATTTGAACTTGGGTCCTCACACTTGCATAGCAAGCGTTTTACCACTGAGCCAACTCCCCAGCCATCTTCCACTTTCTTGAAATCCCACTGTTTTGCCGGGTGTGTTGGCGCACGCTTTAATCCTAGTACAGAGACGGAGGAGGAGGGGGAGGAGGAGGGGGAGGGGGAAGAGGAGGAGGAGGAAGAGGGAGGAGGAGGAAGAGGAGGAAACAAAAAGGAAAAATAAAAACCCACTGTGCAAAGGATTTCACAGACATCTCATTTACCAACTCCACCTTACAGACAAAGAAACTGAGGCTCAGAGAGGATTAGTAACTTGTGTGAGGCCACACAGCTGGGGAATCATAACCAATTGGCCTTGGCACTGCCATCCTGTCTGCCAGGGACCCAGTTTCCTGTCCCCTTTGACTCAGGTGTGTTTCTAACCCTAGGATGAATCATCGACTACAGAGCTCCTTTGGTGGGACTGTGATGGGTGAGGCTGGCATGAAAACCGTGGAGGATGTGGGAAGTCCCCTCAAATATGAATTCCAGGTAAGGGCATCTCTGGGGTCCAGACTGGAGACTCTTACAAAAGGTAATGGGGGCCTCTTCTTGGTCTGGGGTCCAAAAGTGGGAGGGTTGAGAGTTGTTGAGCTGGAGGTGGTTTTCCAAAAGATTGTAACCATGACATACAGATCATATGTGTCCACAGGTGAGCCCAGTGGGGGAGGGGCTGGCAGCCTTGGGCACGCTGGTCCTAGGTATTACATGGCCCTATGAAGCTGCCAATGGAAAGTGGCTGTTGTACCCTACGGAGATCATCATCCATGGCAATGGGTCCTGGCCTTGCAAGCCACCTGGAGACCTTGTCAACCCTCTCAACCTTACTCTTGCTGTAAGTTCATCATCAGGGATATTCCATGTGCATTTTGTGTTGCATCTCATTTGCATGCTGGAGCGCAGCAAGTCCAGTGTCTTTCCCTTCCTTCCCTTGGCCCTCTTTAGGGGCCTGACTCTCCCCCACCCTTTCCCTATCTTCCATCCCTGTTTCTCATCTGCCTGTGCCTTTCTAGCAAATCTCTTCCCTCTTCAGGATCCTGGAGACAAGCCACCATCTCCACAGCGCAGGCGGAGACAGCTGGACCCAGAGGGAGGCCAGGATTCCCTACCTGTCACACTAGCTGCTGCCAAAAAAGCCAAGTCTGAGACTGTGTTGGTGAGTGGCCAAGATAGAGACAGGGTGGATTTCATGGCCCATCATAAGGTACATGGGCACCAGGGGACCAGGAAGCAAGGGAGGTAAAGATCACTGACCTGGAGACTCCAATCTGAAAATGTGCTGTGGGTCTAGCCCCTAGGAGTCTCCTGATGGACAAAGACTCACTTCCTGCCCTGAGAGAGCATCCAACACAGGAACCAAAAGAGGAACCCCTAGCTCAATTCCAATGGCTCCCACACTGTTGGGGACCATTTAGTGGTTCAGAGTCTTGACCTTAAGACTGAGGAGGAGTGGGTGGAAATGTGGAACAGGATACCCTCTGCAAGAAGGGAGAGAGGAGCAGATGTAGGGACCCAGGGAAGGCCTCACTGGGTAGAGGGGTTGAAAGAGTGTCCCAGGCAGTCAGAAGTTTCTGAGGCTGTGCCTTGCCAACCTGAGCAGGGACTGGATTTCATATGGTTTGTCAGATGAGCTTGGTATAAGAATGTCTCTTGAATGTATCTATAGGTAGGGGAATGTGCATGAGCAAAAAGATGAAATCAGGCCCCTTGGTCAACCAAGGGTGGGACAAAGTCTGGAAGGGTGGAAGGTGAGGAACAAAGCACAAAGTCTGAAGACCCAGGCTATCTCGTGTCTGTGTATCCCTTGCGCACTTCAGACCTGTGCTACTGGCCGTGCCCACTGTGTGTGGCTAGAATGCCCCATTCCTGATACCTCCAGCATTACCAACGTGACCGTGAAGGCACGGGTGTGGAACAGCACCTTCATTGAGGTCAGTGCAGAGTTTGGAGGTCTCCACTATTATCCACTTGAATGGGAAGAGTGACAGGGAGGGACTGAAGTATGTGTGTGTGTGTGTGTGTGTGTGTGTGTGTGTGTGTGTGTTTGTGATAACATTCTATTCTGCACAGTTGTGTGTCCATCACTGTGGGCCATGTTCGTGTTATGTTCACATATCTATATCCAAATGTCTAATGCTTCTGAAATGACCTCTCTAGTGTCCTTTACATACTACCTCTGTGCCTTTGCCCCTCTTCCTTCCCCCTAGAATGCCAGCTTCCTCTCTGTCTCTGCATGGGAACTTCTATTCAGCCATCAAGATCTCTGTCAACCTTCACTCCACATCCCTGAGGTCCTATATAACTTCAACAGCAAAAGTGCCCTCTCTCCTGAATGCCATAGAACTTTCTGAGAAGCCATACACGCTACCTGTTGTGCCTAACTGGGTTGTGGTTACTCTTGTGCCAGCCTTCTCTTGCCACCTAGTCCAAACTTTTTCTCTGATTAGATTTTCAATCTCTTCTGGCCTGTGGACTTGATTTCTGTTGCTATTCTGTTTCCACCATTGGAGCACAAAACCTGCCATAGGCAAATGAAGGGGCTGGGGCTGTGTGCCAAAAATGCCTTGTTTACAAAAGCAGCTGCTGAGTCTAGATTTAGTTCATGGGCCTGACCTAGACTGTGACCTTCATTGTCTCTACTGTCCCAGCATCCAGCACAGGACCTAATGCATGCATAAATGTCATGCATTTTATGTGGAGGAGAGGCCGGGTGACAATCTTTGGGGGTGCTGCTTAAGGATGCTGCCTGATGGGAGAGTGAGGGAAACAGGTAAGGAAGGGACTCGGGTTTCAGCTACTGGTTTTGACCCTTCTATACCCCTTCTAGGATTACAAAGACTTTGACCGAGTCAGGGTAGATGGCTGGGCTACTTTATTCCTGCGAACCAGCATCCCTACCATCAACATGGAAAACAAGACCACATGGGTGAGTGGGTGTGTTAACAAGGGGCAGCAAGCTTGGGCCATGGCACTGAACATACAGCATCTTTAAGAAGACACTGAAGCAGGGCCTCATGGTGCAGGTCTGTGATCCCAAACTTCTTGGGAGGCTAAAACAAGAGGATGGTTAAGCCCCAGGCCTGCTTGGGCTATCAAGTGAATTCAAGGCCAGCCTGGACAAATTAATGATATTCTGTCTCAAAATTAAAAGTAAAGGGCTGAGGAGATGGCTCAGGGGTAAAGGCCTTGTTCCACAAGCATGAAATCCTATGTTTGGATCCCTAGCACCTAGATAAAAGCAGGACATGGTGGCACACATCTATGACCCCACCTCTGAGAGGGCAGAGATAAATGAATCATAGGGCCTTGCTGGGTAGCCAGTCTAGCCAAAATGGCAGGTTACACTGGTCCAGTAAGAGACCCTGTCTGAAAAAATAGGTGGAAAATGATAGAGAAAGATACCTGATGTTAATCTCTGACCTCCAGAAAGGCATAGAGGGACACACAGGTGTGTATACAAGTAAAAGTTAAAGTGGGGATGGTGCTGTGGAGAGTTTGCTTAATGGTGAAGAGTATGTACTGCTCTTGCAGAAGATCTGAGTTCAGTTCCTTGCACCCATATCAGGCGCTCACAGTCTCCTGTACTTCCAGTTCTAGGGGATCCAACACTTTCTGTTGCTTTCTGTGGATATTGCACTCATGTATATATATTTGCACAAACACACACACACACAAATTAAAAATGAAAAACATTGAAAAAAAGAGGGAGGGAGCTGAGGATGTAGCTCAGTGGTAGTACCTAGCATGCAGAAGACCCTGAGTTCAATCCCCAGTACTACACACACACACACACACACACACACACACACACACACTTTGGCTATGTGGTTCTCAGTCTTGGCAACAGAACACATTACAATTTTCTGGCAGGCTTCTGGTGTTGGTACTATGCCAGTGATTAGGTCTGGTCCTTGGGCAGGGAACATGGTACTGGGATGTTTAAGAGGCCCATAGGTGATGCTGATGTGTGACAAGGTGGATGACCGTGCTTACTTAATGTGTACAACTGCTCCAGGAAGAACAGGGCTGCGGGTGGATCTATTTTATGGCTGAGGAAACTGAGGTTCAGGGAAAATGAGTTACCTGCCCACAGTGGCATGGCGTGTCAGGGACTGGCACCAGGGTCTCCTGCTGTTATACCCACTACGAATATGTAAGCTTCTGGCAGAGAGAACAGCAGTAACAGGCTAAGCTGAAGCTCAAGCAAGACCAGTGGTAAGCCAGTGTTTGCCTGTGGTGTGACTGTGCACAAGGCAGGAAAGAGGCCGTGTTTGGCTGTCAGGCCCTGAAAATCAGGAAACTCAACAGAAGATCCAAGTATCAGCATGCATAGGCTGCCTCTGTGCTAGCAATAACCAATCCAAAATAAGGTTGATGAACCTGGAGTGGTAATGTGAGCCTATAGTACAAGGTACTTGCAAGGCTGAAGGCAACATAATGAGATACTGTCTTAAAAAATAAAATAAAATGAATTATAAAGGGTTGGGTATGGTGGAGTATTAGAGTACTAGGGCAGGAGAAGAAACACAAATTGAGGCCAACCTGGACTACATAGTGAGTTCAAGGCCATAGCAAGACCCTGTCTCAAAAAAACCAAACCAAGAGGAGCTAGAGAGATGACTCAGAAGTTAAGAGCACTGGCTGCTCTTGCAGAGGGACCTGGGTTTGATTTCCAGCACCCACATGGCAGCTAACAACTGTCTGTAACTCCAGTTCTGGGGGATCTGATGCCCTCTTCTGACCTCTTTGGGCATTGTATGACATGCAGGTACACGTACATACATGCAGGCAATACACTCATACACATAAAATAAAAACAATAAAATATTTTAAAAATCAAGCCAAGTAAACAAACCATGAACAATAATAACAGTGAAATATGTATGTATAGCTGAAAAGATCTAGAACACCTTGGAATAACCACAACAAATGTACAACGAAAACTTAAATAATGGATAGAAAAAGCCAATATTATCAAACTGTTAGATCTTTTCAAATTATTCCAGTCCACGTAGGATTCAGGAAACTTGAAAGAAACAACAAAACAAAAAAAACAAAGGTTCTGAGCTTGATTTTAGGTTACATCTAGGAGAATAAATAAATAAGCAAATAAACAAAATGACAATTAGTAATTTATTGTGAAATAGATTTAACTGGAGATATATAGGTGACACACATAGGAAGATAAATGGATGGTTGGTGAAGTTTATGACACATTTCCTAAATAAACCAGTGTGATTTAGAAGAGGTAGAGGAAGGTCTAGAAAGATCAGTGGGATAGAAATTTAGTTTATGGGGCTGGAGAGGTGGCTCAGCAGTTAAGAGCACTGACTACTCTTGCGGAGGACCCAGCACCCAGCACCCATATGGCAGCTAACAACCATCCGCAACTCCAGTTCCAGAGGAGTCTGACACCTTCTTCCGACCACTGTGGCATTGCATGATGGCGTGCACTCATACATATAGGCAGTAAACTCATACACATAAAAAAGAAAAATAATTGAAGCTGGAGATATGGCTCAGTGGTTAAGAACACTAACTGTTCTTGCAGAAGACCCAGGTTCGAATCCCAGCACCCACATGACAGCTAACAGCTGTCTGTAACTCCAGTTCCAGGGGATCCGACAGCCTCTTCTGTCCTCCATGGGCATTGCATGACATGGGTGCACTTACCTACATGCAGGCAAAACATGCATACACATAAAATGAAAAATCGGGAACCCAACAGCTTCTTCTGACTTCGGTGGGCATTTCACGACACGGGCGCACTTACCTACATGCAGACAATACACATAAAATGAAAAAACAATAAATAAAATGTTTTTAAAAAATAAATAAAATATTAATAAAATAAAGAAATTTAGTTTATGATACAGACTGCATTATTTTTTAATTTTATGTATTATGATGTGTGGATATGAATCCAAGGTCACTTTTAGGAGCCTGTTCTTTCCTTCCATTGTGGGTTCTGTGGATAAAGCCTGTGCAGAAGGTGCTATATCATCTCACCTCATCTCACCTGCTTTTTTTTTTTTTAATGTATATGAGCATTTTAATGTATATGAGCATTTTCCCTGCATGTCTGTAAGTGCACCACATATATGCAGTGCCCTCAGGGACCAGAAGAGGGCGTCAGATCTCCTGGAACTGGAGTTATAGTTAGCTATGTGGTTGCTGGAAACCGAACCAGGGTCCTCTGCAAGAGTAATCAGTGCTCTTAACCGTGGAGCCATCTCTCCAGCCACCCAGGCTCAATCAGTGGAGAAAAATTATTAGCTGGATGTGGTGGCACATACCTGTAATCCCAGGACTCAGGGGCTGAGGCAGGAGGAGTCTAAGATATTATTAGGTAGTGTTGGAAGAAAACATTTGAGAAATAAAGAAATATCTGTCTCACACCACTAACAAAAATACCTTCAGGTTAAGTGAAATATTTAAATGTAGAAATTAAATGTGTGCCAAAATAAAAGGCAGAATAATTTGTTGGTAACCTTTAATTATGGAACAAGTGAGTTGCTTATTTATTTATTTTTAATAAAAAATTATGACATTTACTTATTTGGGGGAGGGAGTGTCACAGTGTGAGCGTGGAAGTCTGAGACAACTTGAAGGAGTCAATTCTGTCCTTCCACCATGTGGGTCCCTGGGATCAAACACAGGTTGTCAGGTTTGGCAGCCAGTAGTACCTTGACCCAATGAGCCATCTCATTGGACCTATTTGTTTGCTTTTGGGAAATAAGATTTCACTATGTAGCCCAAGCTAGTCATAAACTTTTACAACAATCCTCTACCTCAGCCTCCCAAGTACCGGTACTAGATGTGTGAGTCACTTGGAGTGAGATACTTTATTAAAGCCCAAAATCAAAAGGAAAAAGTTGACAAATTAGACTACATGAGATTTTAAATCTGTATACAAGGAGACGATAAAGGACAAAGAAAGTTTAAAGCATATAGACAAATGTTGACGTGTTTAACATTTCAAGAGAAAATATAAAATAAAAAGGCAATGTATGCAGGTGAAATATAAATGTTTAACTTACTCATAAAGACATAAAAACAACTGGAGAGATGGCTCAGCAGTTTTGAGCACGTGCTACTCTTTCAGAGGACCTGAGTTCAGTTCCCAGCACCCATGTCAGGTGTCTCCACAGGTGCTTGTACTCACATGTACAGACACACATATATACAAATAATTTAAAATAAAAATAAAATCTTTTTAAAAAGTAATAAAAATAACAAAGAGTTGTCTGTCTGATTGTAAAATACTAAAAAGAGTAATACTTCTGTTGCTGCTAAGTGGCAGGAAATGCTACTGGCTGGGGTATAAATTGGTGGTTCCTTTCTGGAGATGAATTTGTCAATATCCATTAAAATTTAAAGCACCCATTTCCTTTGATCTAGCACATGATAATATATCTCAAGGAGCTAATAGGACAAATATACAAAGATAAATATATGGGGTTATTTTAGAGTGTTGTTAATAAGGGGAGGGAATTGGAAACAATCTAAGTGTCTGTCAGTAGGAAATTGGTTCAATAAAATGTGGTCCATTCCTACAGTGACTATGCAGTCCTCAAAAGAGATCAAGTTGGCCTTTATCAATTGACAGAGAAAGAGGATATTAACTGGAAAAAAAGCTTGCAGAAGTGTGTGTGGTATGATTCCATTAATATGGGTCAAATGTACTAAAAAATAGAGATAGCTAGGGAGGGTTTGTGGGTGTATACCTGTAATCCCAGGACTTGGGAGGCTGAGACAGGATTAGAAGTTGGAGGCCAGCGTAGGCTATATAATGAGACCCTTTCTTGAAAAGAGAGGAAGGAAGGGGAGAGAGAGAAAGAGAGAGAGAGAGAGAGAGAGAGAGAGAGAGAGAGAGAGAGAGAGAGAGAGTGATTCCGCACAGATATTTATGATTCAGCACAGAAATTTACTGTTTTTGGTTTTTCAGTTTTGGAGAGGGATTCATGTAGGTTGACCTCAAGCTCACTATATAATAGAGTCTAGCCTTGAACTCCTGCTCCTCCTGCCTCCTGTACCACAGTGGGTGGCTTGAATACATTATTCATTATGGAGATAGTTGTTTCTAGAGCATCAAATTACTAGGAACCTTTGCTTTTCCCTAATTTTGTTTTCTAAAATCAAAATAACTGTAAGGGGCTGGAGAGAAGGCTTAGTGTTTAAGAGCACTTGCTGGAGCAGGGTTTGGTTCCCAGTACCCAACATGGTGGCTCATAATCAGCTGTAACTCCAGTTCTAAGAGTTCTGAGGCCCTCTTCTGGTCTCTGCAGGCACTATATGCACATGGTATGCTTAAATACATGCAAAACACTCATACACATAAAAATTTAAAGATCTTTAAAAAAAAATCTTTTAAAAAAAGTTGTTAAAAAATAATTTTAAGCTAGGCCTGGTGGTGCATGCCTTTAATCCTAGCACTCAGGAGGCAGAATCAGGTGAATCTTTATGAGATCGAGCCAGCCCAGTCTCAAAAAAAAAAAAGAAAGAAAGAAAATCAAGCATAGTCATCTAGACAAGTTAAACTCTAAAAACTGGAAATTCAACACTACCTATCAATGTGGGTCAAATGTATTAAAACAGCGGACTTTTTGAGCCCCATGCTCAGTCAGTGAACAGTCTGTGGAAATATTCCAGAATGAAAAAGGAAAAACAATCTGAGATATTTTTGGTCCCAAGCATTTTAGGAATATTTAATCTGTCTATACAGATTAAATGCATATACATGTCCATTGTAGTGGAAGAAAAATAATGCTATATGCTATGCATTGTTTATGTTTTTCTATAAATATTTATGGAGGGCTTGCCATGAGTCACTCTGAGCAGTTCACGAATACTAAATACATTTAATCTTCTCTGGCAGCCTATGAGGTAAGGAACTGTAATTCCCAATTTACAGATGAACAACAGTGAGGTTAAGCAACTTGCTCAAGGTCACATATCTAGTGATTGACAAGCAAGGCTGGACTGGAGCTCAAGTAGTCTAGCTCCGGAACTCATGGCCACTTCATTATACTGTGAAGTAGGCATTCTGATCTCTCTATCAGGAAGCATGAAATGAAGATTCAAAGAGGTGAGATTACTAATCCAAGGTCACGTAGCTCTACAGGAGTAGAGTGAGCTAATGTGCAAGCCCAGGTGAGTGGTCACAAACCCAGATCCCAGGTGCCTACCAGATCAGAGGCTGGTTCACTGGCCAGGTCTGCATGCTTAAGAAGCAGGACCTGCTGAGGTCATTCAGGCCTGCTGAGGCTTTTTCTAGTCCCTGGCTGCCCCCTACTGGAGGCAGGTTAAACAGCAGGACTCTGGACCCAACTGGGACTGAGAGGGTAAAGGGGTCTCAGAGGACAGACCCAGGACTGAGTCTCATCTCTCTTTTCTGCAGTTCTCGGTGGACATTGACTCTGAACTGGTGGAGGAGCTGCCTGCTGAGATTGAGCTGTGGCTGGTGCTTGTGGCTGTGAGTGCTGGACTGTTGCTGCTGGGCCTCATCATCCTCCTGCTGTGGAAGGTAGAGACTCTCAGCCCTCTGAGGCCTCCCACTTGCCACCTCCTCCTGGCAGCACAGCTCACCCACCTTCCTCCATCCCACAGCTCCGCATCCCATTCCTCATTTCCGCTACCCCTCCTCAGATCTTCCCACCTCCCCTCAACTTCCAGTCCCACCCTTACCTGGGTTAATGGGGGAGCTGCAGGCTTCAATCGGGAACCCAGAAACTCTGGTGTCTGGCCACTCACCAAGCTGGGGCCAGGACTCAGACATACAGGTTCCCAGCTACCTGAGTGCTGCTGGCCAGGTTCCCCAGTACCCCTGATGGCCATCCCCACCTCCTCCCTCCAGTGCGGCTTCTTCAAGCGAGCCCGCACTCGCGCCCTGTATGAAGCTAAGAGGCAGAAGGCTGAGATGAAGAGCCAGCCGTCAGAGACGGAGAGGCTGACCGACGACTACTGAGGGGGGGCAGACCCTGACCCCGGCCCACCTGGGTAACATGGCCTACCAGGCCTTCTCCCCAGCCCCTGGCTGGCCAAGGCCTGTGATTCTGTCCTGTCTGCTCCTCTTGCCTTAGGGCCTGCTTGGATCTTACCTGTCCCACCACCACCTCAAAGCAGGCTGCTCTGCCTGATTATCCCCTGTACACCCTCTCCCACCTGGCTTTCATGGGCTTGGAACCCCAAGAACATGCCATAAAATTCTTCCTATGAGCATGCTGCTTTCTGGGAACTGGAAAAGGGTAACAATCAGGGCTAGACCTCCTCTGCCTGACCACCAGTCCTGTCCACAAGGACTCTAAGCCCCATCCCTTCCCCCACAGAAGGAGAAGACCAGAAGAGTCCAACCCTTTTTGTCTTGAGTCCCACCATCTCCCCAGGATAACTATCTCACCCACTTCTAGCCATGGTCATTGAGTCTACCCCTTTTCCTGACCACTTTGCCTACAGTCTCTGCAGCTGCTTGGTCTCCACTTGCCTCTCCTCCTCTCTGCCTTCCTTAACTCCTCCTTCCTTGGGCCTGGGGTGGGGTTCATCCTCCCATCTCACACTATGGTGGGGATGTTTGAGTCAGGGCCTAGCTCTGAAGATCACGGGGGAGGGTGTCTAGGTATATCTTCCCCTTGAGGACTAGATACTGACACAAGTTCTCTTCTGCCCAATCTCCAGTGTGACTTCTTTAAGCGAACCCGCTACTACCGAATCATGCCCAAGTACCATGCAGTACGTATCCGTGAGGAGGAGCGCTACCCACCCCTGGGGAGCACCCTGCCCACTAAGAAGCACTGGGTCACCAGCTGGCAGATTCGAGATCGATACTACTGATGCCTTCCCTGACATCCCTCTCAGTATCCCCTTCCTCCTATTTATCATAAGTTATGACTCTGACAGTCCTCAGGGGACACACATTTGGCTGGCACCAGCAGGCTCAGGGGCATACCCCTTTTCGGGGCAAGCATGTTTTCTGGGGTCCTAGGATCTCCTTCAAGACCTCGCAATGCTGAGCACACCATAGCTCCGTGCCCTGGACACACACAGGGCCCATTGCTCGTGGCCAGTTCTCATGTACCATGGAGGGTGCCATGTTCCAGCCTGGCTGTGCCAAAACAAAGCCGAATGGCTTTTACTGGAGCCAGGAGGAAAAAATTCCCAATGTGGTGACACATCCCCCTCCACACTGGATCCACCTTGAGCCACTGTCACAGGACAGACTTTCGCTGCCCAGAGTAAAACTACTGACAAGAAGCAGCCCATCGGGTCCAGCTGTAACTCCTGGCACACATCGGAGAGCAGGGTCCTGCCGGGGCTATCCGAGGGATGCTCGCATGATCTACCTGCTCAGACCCAGGAGCAGTGAGCTACAAAGCAGGTCCCTAGAATGGCTTTATAAATGGATCTCTTCTTGGCCACAGATGGAGGGAGCTGGCAGGAAACTCAGCCCAAAGGAACATAGAGAAACCATGAATAGCTTGGACACACTGTGCCGGGACTGACCTGGAGCATGGTGGCCTCCTTTAGAGATCAGGGGACCAGTCCTGGCCCAGCAGGTATTGACACGGTGCAGAGGAGAAACTTCTGACCTGTCACTACCACCTCAGCCTGGGCAAGGCCTGAAGAGACTCTACAAGACCATTTGGGGTGATACTTGAATGTAGAGCAGGGGAGAGCCCAACCCCTGCTCCAGCTGGCCAGACTCAACTCTGCTCCCCTTGATCATGAAGGTGATGTTCTGGGCTGCCTGTGGATTTCTGAGCAACCTAGCTCAACCTCCTCCTGGGGGCTGCGTCCCAAGGCCCATTCTAGCATTGATGGCTAATTCCCAGGTCCTCTCCTGACCTCTACCCACAGGCAGGCCCGCTTCCCAACCCTGCCCCTCCACGGTACTGTAGCAGCCCCTATCCCTTGTGCCTTCTTTGTATATGGGCTTCTCACTACAACCAATAAACAGCTCCCAATTTGTACTCCTGCATCTGCTGCCACCCACCCCCTAGCCCTGACCAATCTCAGTTCAGTCTGGAAGGGTGACGACCTCCCGCAGCTGATCCCTGGGTGAATAAAGTCAGATGGTAGGGATTTGGGGGCCTTGAGGGTGAAAATATATGGAGGAGCCAGAAACCCCTGTTATCAAGGTGTCCCAGTCTACCGGCTGGTCATAGAAACTTGAATGAAATCCAGAAGCTCATGTGAAGGAACAGACCAGAGTAGCCTGGTAGGAATTCCCAAGTGGTTTCTTGGAAACCATGTGCTGACCTGAGTAGGCAGGAGAAGGGTGTGCAGGGACAGGAAGAGGTGTAGGAACAGGCAGTCCTGGCTGGAGTGGAGCTAGGGTGGGTACAAGTGTCTATACAGAACCCACAGTAGGGGCTGAGCTCAGGTAAGAGCCTGCTTTTCTGCTCCATTTCCCCATCGCCACACTTGGGCACCACAAGGAGGCTATCAGAAGGTGAGCCAGTGAGTAAGGCTGTGAAAACTGAGGGCATGGGTGCCCACCCCCAGCCTCCGGGCAGGAGACCCTGGTGTGAATCTTTTGGAGATGAAGGCCACCCTCTGTATCCCCACATTTCCAGGGGTTCCTGGAACAGTCTTCCCTTACCCTAGCTGCTGCTCCCGATTCACGCAGGCCTGAGGAATGGAATGAGGATGCCTCCCCTTGATTTCTTTACCCTAAACTATGGTGTGGCTCCTGCTGTTGTCTCCAAGACTGAGATTTCACTGAAGACTGGAAGTTACTACCCAGAGAAGTCTAGAGGCAGATCCCAAATTCTGCCCTTCTCAGACTCCATAGACCCATGCTACTGTGGGAGGTTCCTCTTCCTATCTACCTGGGTGTCTCCCAGCCTTGTTATTGTGGCAGCTGTGTGACCTCTGCTCCCACCAGCAGGACCCAGCACAACACTGTCCTGGACCCCATGCCCACCCTCTCCATGCAACTTTCTCCCTCCTTTTCCATGTTAGCATCTGTCACTGTCCTAGTTTTTCATTGATGTGACAAAATACTCTGACCACTACCAACTTGGGGAGGAAAGGGTTTATTCAGCTTACGTCTCCCAGGTCACAGTTCATCAGGGAGCCCAAGGTAGGAACTCAGGGCAGGAACCTGGAGGCAGGAGCTGGAGCACAGGG